CAATACGACTAAAAACCAGTTTCAAGATTGATACAGTTTGTGATGAGACTGAATTAGTTTTTTTAATAGAAAATTTTGGTAAACCATGTGAAAAGTGTGGAAAGATTTATTTTAATGTCGTACAGTTTAATCCTGATTATTCAGATTGATTTATTAGAACTTCTATGTAATCTTGATTTGAATAAATAATTTATTATTAACCAATCAAAATACAACTATCATAGATTTCAAAAATTCAATTCAATACATTGTGGTCATTTATGTTTACAATATTTATTTGAAAAATGTCTATAWATAAACTATATTTTAATGTTTAGACTTAGTTTCATTCCACCCTTTGCCATGTCAATAATTCTAAATTATTCTGGTAATAGTTCTGTTTTAAAAGCAGACTATTTCCACCCATTGAGTTATCTTCACCAACACCGTTTCGTGAACTAAGTGCAGATGTGAAAAAACAAGTGAAATATATAGAATTGAATCATCATCTGTTACGTTACAACAGTGGAAATATCGATTATGAAAATATCTGTAACATATTAGAAGAACATGTTATTGATGAGATTGTTGATATCATTTATGTAAAAGGCCACATTAAAGAGATTTTTTTAAGAGAATTTTTCGATTCGAAAGACTACTATCCTAGAATCATCAATTTGGAAAAAACAAACTTTTGTCCACAGTTGCAATTGTATTTGTAGTCTAATGTACAATTTATTTATAAATATGTAATTCAGAATTTACCGAAATAAATGTTTTACAGTTGATATTTTATCTCATTTCCTTTTCTTACTTCAAACAACCAATCTGTCTATGCTTGAGGACATTATAACATTGATTTAATGAAAATGTAATAGGTATAAAATAAAAAAGAATTAAAAAATATTATAGGTATATTTGTTTTATTTAATTTCTTCATGGATTTCCTACACTTCTACACTACATTCTAACTTAACTATTTTTTATACTAGTTTTCTGGTGTCGCCACTTAATGGATTATATTCAATTATTCTGTCATGTAATAGTAGAAAGAATGCTGAAGTATTATTAGTGATACCACCGGCGCTGGTTTCGAATTCGATCATAACATCCACAGGTCCATTTTTAATTACTTCGTTTTGATGCGAGCAATCAATAACCGCAATAGGAGCAACAGATTTGAATTTATTTACATCAAGTAGCGGAGATGATTTGAAACCATAATATGATTCTTGAAATCTTGCATACATTTCGTATACGAGTGCAAAACGATCTTCCTCAAATGATGAATAGAATTTTTCAGATGGATAGGTTTCAGAATTTAAGTGTACTTGTACACTAGTAAGATTACAATGATTAAATTGACTTGCATCTTGGTCTGTCTTGTCTGTTTTGTTTGTCTGTAAAGCAAAAATTACAAATCTTAGCTTCTCTAGTTGATTGGAGTCAGTAAATTGTACCTACCTGAGAGGTACAATGCTTTCACCGATCGCCAATTGCAAGATTTTAATGGGGCAAATTATTTCTTGGTTAACAAGGGTTTAGAAGGTAAATCCTATAAACTAATTTTGAAATCATCGGCGGACATCGAAGTTCCGAAATCAACCGATTTAATTGAAGTCGCTTCCGAAATAGAAATTGGCACCTCGACCTCCACTCAGAACACCGAGGAGTCCGACTTGGAGGAAGAAGACGCCACCACGTATTACACCCAAAAAAATACCAATACACTGTAAGAATTCCAAAATTTTCAAATACAAACACAGTCAATTTTTTTTTAAATATTTTATTTATTAGTAACACATACATTATTTTTATTAAAATTAAACATTCTTAAATACAATTTAATTATTTTTTTAATTTTGTCCTCAGATAAAGCAATAAGCGAACAGACACAAGTATCCGGACCATCTTCAACTTCTTCATCATCTTTCGACCATGGATATCCAACGTAATGTAAGCCAAAAGATGTCAATTTTTCCTTTCTACAGTCAACCTGTTGCAACATCTGTTGAAATCGAACGAATTCATCACAGTGAGCAAGATTACATCTCCATAGAGATGCAAAAATTCGTTCACATGCATCTTTCAAGAATGCTTAAAACAAACTGATGTAGACACTTTAAAAAAATTGTTTATTGGTCCGAATACATATAGGTGTGGTATACAGTGTAAATAAATCTTAATTAATTAATACTATGTATTACATAAAAAAATAAAAAAAATAAAAAAAAACAAAAAAAAACACTCTCATTGGTTCTATCCCACCTGTATCACTTCCTGCAAAACATGATCACAGTGCTGCGTGCGTCTAACAAAATTTCGAGCAATCTCATTGGTCGGCAGCCATATTGTAACATGCAGCTCCCCCTCCCCCTTCCTCTAGCGTGCCTAACAAAATTTTCGAGAAATCTCATTGGTCGACAGGTGGGGACTTGCACGCCCACATCGTGCCTAACAAAATTTAAAGCATTCTCATTGGTCGAGAGGTGTGGCTAAACGAGCCTTACAAATTCTCGCGCTTGCGCAGAGCAAAAAACAACGCTGAAACGTCGCCATTTTTACCCCCACCACACACGCCGAGGCTTCTCATTGGTCGAAACACATTTGAAGCCCCGCCCATATCCGGCCTCCGTCATACCCCCACCACAATTTGGCTCCGCCCCGTGCCTAATTTTGTGGTCCAGAACATACATGGCTATACTACTCTCTTTCCCCAAATGTAAATAAAATTTGTCGTTTGTTTTTGATTTTGTGTTAAAATTAAATATCCTTACAGGGCTATTAATTTTTCATTAATTTGGTTATAATAATGTATTCCTTTAGGGGAACGACGGGTAATCACGAACAGCGGGCAATACCGAACACCCATTTTCAACTGATACTGGCCTTTTTTGGCTGCCAACAACATTCTAGAATAAAAGTAAACTGCACGACAAGTGTCGCAATTTAACCATTATGAACTTAGCCCCTGTTTTGTAAAAGTTATGACGACATTTTAATTTTTACGTATTGTCTTATTATTTACGATTGCATTATTTTAAGGTAAGCAAACAATACAAGATAACATTTTGCAAAAAGTTCGAAACTGTTATAATTGTTTAATAATTGTCTATGGTTTTACATGGCAACACTGAAATCTTTGTCTTTGTTTATTGCTTATAATCTAAAACAATTTCGATAAACGGATGGGGTAATACCGAACACGGTGTTTAGATTTACCCGACATGTATTTTAATTGACATATTTTAGAAAGTCTTTCATAATATTTGGTTAAAGATGCTTCGCAAACGTCAAAGGACGACGGGAAAATGATCGTGGTCAGAGGAGAACATGAAAAAAAATGAAATTTGGTTTCGTTGTATTCTTGTGGAGATTGGGTGCACAAGTTCTGCACTGTAGTGGAAAACCAGCAGACTATATTTGTGATTTGTGCACATAATATTCATATCTATTTTGTCACTGTTATAATTAATTATTTGGCTTTTAAATCTTCTTCGCGCTGGATGACCCATCAGCTGTCCGATATTACCCGCAACCTTCGGGTAATGCCGAATTTACTATATATTGTTTTGTTAATTTTTTACTGTTGTTTAAACTAACCTTAATTGATTCTTTTATTGTAGTTTAATTCCTTAGGCTTTTTTTTCTGATCTACGTTGAATACTTTAGCTCTAATGGCAGTAGGTTCAGAGTAATTAATTTTTTTCCTGAGGTGTTCGCAATTAGCCGTCGTTCCCCTGTATACAAAATCTTTTGAAGAATTATATAAAATTGTTGGAATCAATAATTATCAAAATGTTACCTTTTTTTTATTTAGAAAATGAAGTAATATCAACGTTCAATTTAAACAGTAGCACCTAATTCTAAAAATATCAATTTACCCATTCATAAGCAAAGCAAAAGTTAGAAGAACCAATAAGTTATTACTTTTTTCCAAGTCACAATTTTGTTGTGTAAAAGAAAAAAATTATAACCAGGGTCCTATTTTTGTAATTATGCATGTTATCAAGTATAAGATGCTTCGAATATTATTGTTCTACGTTTTATAAACTGTAATAAGAAGTAAACGTAGTAGTAGTTGCAATTTAGAAAAAATGTTTCCAACTTGACAGCAAATTCGATCCTCAACAAGTTTTCATCATTACAACGTTTAAAAAGAGTCATAACTTATTGTCTCAGATTTATTTCGAATATGAAGAAAGCGGAAAAACGAACAGGTTCATTGACTAAAGAAGAAGATAAGGCACTCTGGCAAATTTTGTTTCTCGTCCAACAAGAAGAACTTAAACAGGATTTTTGTGATTTAAAATCTAAAAAGAGCGTGTCCAAGAAAAGAAAACTTTATAAATTGCAACCATTTATCGATGAATCAAACTTTATTACGGTGGGCGGTAGATTGTCCAATTCCAATGTTACAATAGATCAAAATCAGAACACGAACGACTTTATCATTGCGGACATGAACAACTTTTAGCGACAATCAGACTGAAGTACTGGCCATTGACCGGAAGAAATGAAGCTAAGCGAATATTACACAACTGTGTAAAATGCTTCAGACAGAAACCAACCCCAGCCAAGTATCTTATGGGGAATTTACCAAAATCTAGAATTTGTGCATCATTAAGACCCTTCGAAGTTTGTGGAATTGATTATGCGGGACCCATACAGATAAAAGAAAGCAAGAGAAGAGGAAGAGTCCATACAAGCAAAAGCTATGTTGCCGTTTTTGTTGTCATTCCACAAAGGCAGTCCATTTGGAACTTGTTACAGAATTATCCATTGAAGCGTTTATTGCTTTGCATCGATTTACAGCTAGAAGAGGTATTCCTCATCAGATCACCTCGGACAATGGTACTAATTTTATAGGAACAAACAATCAACTTCAAGATTTGTACAAGTTTCTTTCCCAAGCTAATGAAGAATTGACGTTAAATTTAGAAAAACAGAACATAAAATGGAGTTTCATCCCACCAAAATCGCCTCATCAAGGAGGACTTTGGGAAGCTGCAGTAAAAAGTATGAAGAGACATTTAGAGCGAACAATTCAAGGACAGATCTTAACTTTTGAGGAGTATTACACTGTGCTAACAGGTATAGAAGCATGTCTCAATTCACGACCCTTAACACCTCTCTCTTCCTCACCAACTGATTTGATACCATTGACCCCATCACATTGTTTAATCGGAGACATTTTAATACAACCCTGTGAACCCGATCTCACAAATTCTCCCAAAACATTAAAATCTCGCTGGTTAAATATTCAAAGAATTCGGCAACATTTCTGGAAGAGATGGCATAGGGACTACTTGAATCAACAACAGACTCGGTCAAAATGGAATGAAAATTATCGCAATATAAAGGTTGGAACTATGGTTCTTATGATTGAAGACAATCAACCTCCTCTACAGTGGCCAGTTGGACGCATCGTTGAAAATTACGCTGGTCAAGATAGTGTAGTGCGGGTGATTTTAGTGAAAACCGTGAATGGCCTGTATAAAAGATCAGTGAAGAAAGTGTGCGTTTTACCCAATATGGACAATTGAAAATTTGTTATTCAGTAGTACTGGAGACAGTATTTTATTCACTTGTTATTTATTTGCACTTGTTTACTTACTTGTACATGTTTAGAGAATTTGTTTAATTTTGAAGCCCTTTAGACTTCAAGGTGGGCGGAAAATGTTTGATTTTGAATTACGCCCGATGTCGTTTGAAGTCAGAGATTGTGATTGTGGTCACAAAACGCAATGTCGTCATGGCAAGAAAATTGTTTATTAGTAGTAAAAAATAATACAGTCCGCCAAATTGCGTATAGCACGACATGTTATACCTATACATCAGGATCAAGTGGAATTTGAAATTCATGGTTTCTCAGATGCGTCAAATAAGGCTTACGGTGCTTGTATCTATTTGCGTAGTTTGAACAAAGAAGGTCACATAAGTTGTCGCTGAGAAGAAAAACAGTGTGTTTTATTTCAATTCATAACACATTTTGTTAAAAAAACTTGAAATTTTCGGTTTTTCAAATCACCTTATGTCACTAATGTGGTCTTACCTTACAAACCGTAAACTTCATGTCACCTTTAATGGTTTTCGATCAACCTCTCCCACGTCAGGTGTTCCTCAAGGATCGAATCTTGGTCCACTTCTATTTTTATTATTATTATTTTTATTATAGTGTGCCATGTATTGACGGATGTCGGTAACCGAATTTCTCTGATTTTTGGTCCGTTATGGGTAGTTTTTCGCCACCCAGAAATCACCGACACTTGGACGACCGATCCAGATCTTCAAGATCCTCTCGGTCATCGTTTAGTTTTGTTAATTTGCGAAGTTCTGCTGAAGTTTTGAAAATTCAACAAAATTTGACAGTTTGTCAATTAAATATTGAAGGAATTTCTAAAGATAAGTGCGATTTCTTGTCGAAAATGGCTTTGAAGGAACATGTGGATGTCATCGTACTTCAAGAAACTCACACTTCGTCGGATTTGGATCTCTTTTCCCTTGGACAAATCTCTGGCTACACCTTGGTGGATTTTATCAATAGTGCTTCTTACGGTTGTGCGACATTTGTTAAATCAGACTTCAAGGATTTTGGCGATTTCAATTGTCATCACAATTTGTGGAGTTATGCGGAGAATGACAAAAATGGTCTTGCTCTTGTTTCATGGATGGAACTAAACAAGCTTCATTTGGTTTTTGACGGTAAAACTAGGAAGAGTTTTTATTCGGCCAGATGGAAGAAGGAATACAATCCTGATTTATGTTTTGTTACAATGAATAACGAAGTACCGTTACAAACATCACGAGATGTACTATCTGGTTTTCCACGCAGCCAACGTCGTCCGGTTATTGTTAAACTTAGCACCGAAATAAAACAATTTCCTTCTCTTCCAAAACCTAGATGGAATTTCCAAAAAGACAAATGGACTGAGTTTGCCAAACAAGTGGATAGTGATCTTCGTTGGATTCCCCCAATTGCAGTGAACTACCGCAGATTTGTTGGAGTAGTCAAAAATGCTGCTAAAAAATTCATCCCTCGAGGGTTCAGGAAAAGTTATATTCCATGTTGGAATGTTGAAACGACGAGCTTGTACAATTCATATATATCCAGTCCTAATCCAGAGAATGCCGATGCCGTAATAAATTCGTTAAATAAGGCGAAAAAAGAAAAATGGAACAGCTTAATGGAAGATTTAAATTTCACACCTAGCAGTCGCAGTTCTTGGAAGCTTTTACAAAAACTTGGATCTTCGAACTTTGATCTGCCTAAGTCAGATTGTGCGATCAACCCGAACACTGTAGCTAGTCGTTTGGTAACGATTTCAAAATATGTTAAGTTAGAAAGAAAAGAAAGGAAGGAGATGAAACGTAGGGTTCAAAAACAAAAAAGAAAGGCGAACATTTCAGAAGAACTATCGAGATGTTTCAACGTAGATGAATTAGAAGCAGCCATATCATCAACGAAGTGTAAAAAATCAGCTGGTTTTGATGGGATCTACCCAGAATTCATCAAAAATCTCGGAAGTTTTGCACTAAACTGGCTTACTTCTTTTTTTAATAATATTTTAATTTCAGCCCGTCTGCCTTCGGAGCTTAAAAAGACCAAGGTGACCGCAATTTTGAAAAAGGGAAAATCTCCACAGGAAGCGTCCAGTTACCGGCCCATTTCTTTGTTGAGTGTTTGTTACAAGATTCTGGAGAGGATGATTTATCAGCGCATTTCTCCTATTATTGAGGATGTTCTTCCCCCCGAACAAGCTGGATTTCGACCACAAAGAAGTTGCTGGGACCAAGTCTTAGCTTGAACGACCCACATTGGGTCTGGTTTTGAAAAACGTTTAAAAACTGGTGTTGTTCTTTTGGATATCACGGCCGCATATGTTACAGTATGGAAGGATGGTTTAATACACAAACTTTATAAAATCGTACCTTGCAAACGGATTGTCAGTCTTATCGAGAGCATGTTAACAAATAGAAGATTTAGAGTTTTTATCGGCGAAAAATCAAGCAAAGTAAAAACTCTTAATAATGGTCTTCCTCAGGGTGCAGTATTAGCTCCATTGCTTTTTAATGTTTATACGAGTGATCTCCCTGATACACTTTCAAGAAAATTTGTGTATGGTGACGATATTGCTCTGACTTTTCAACACAAGGAATTTGATCAACTAGAAAAACAACTTTCCCATGATGCTTCCGCTTTATGTGATTACTTCAAGAAGTGGTGTCTGTGTATAAGCCCATCGAAAACAGAAGTTTCTTGCTTTCATTTGACAAATTCTCAAAAAGATAAGAAAATAAACATTTCATTAAATGCAACTTTCATCCGATCTACCTTGGTTCGCTCTTGACTGTTCCCTTACCTACAAGTTCCACCTGGAAAAAATTAGACAAAAACTGAAAACAAGAAATAACATTTTACTAAAGTTAGCTGGTTCGACTTGGGGTGCTAATGCCAAAACACTTCGTATCACAGCTCTTGCATTAGTTTTCTCAACGGCAGAATATTGTAGTGCTGTATGGATGAACAGTTCACATACAAGCAAAATAGATGCACAATTAAACACTGCCATGCGAGTCATAACTRRCACWTTAAAATCAACTCCCACTGAATGGCTTCCAGTACTGTCTAACATTGCTCCGCCTCTACTAAGAAGAAAACTTTTAGTAAAGAAACTATGGAAAAAATATAGAGAACATCCGCAAGATTTTCCAATATCGTCTGACCTGATTGCCCCCGAAAATCGATTAAAATCTAGAAAACCCTTCTGGCTTGAAACGGCAAATACTGAAAGCTTCTTCGTTTTTGATGAGTGGCGCAACATGTGGTCAAATGTTCAACTTTTCAATAAAGATCTAATAGTAGATCCAACAATAAGAATACCTGGAATGGATCAGCCAAGATGGGTCTGGGTGAAATTGAACAGATTAAGAACTGGTCATGCTAGATGTAATTCTATGTTATTTAAATGGAATGCTGTTGAAAATCCATATTGTTAATGTGGTCAAGTGGAAGAATCTGTACAACATATTGTCGAAGAGTGTCGACTTACGAGTTTTCAAGGAGGCTTCACCGAAATTCATGAGTTGTCGCCAGAAGCTAAAACTTGGTTATCTACTTTCAAAACTTTATAATTTCATTTATGTACTTTTTTATGTACTGTCATACGAATATATACAGGGTGTTTCACGTAATTTTACGAGGCCTGCGCCTGTAAGATGCAATCAATAATACATATTCCGATACGAACTCGATTACAAATTTTGCAGAATTGGATAATCTTCTCTAGTTTGTTCACCCTTTCAAAAATTACAACGTTTTTAGTTAGTTAGTGATTAAGATAAATAAACTAGCTTCATACCATCTCTTGATAAAACAAATGATAATTGTTTCTGAAAAACTGCAGTTTATGACTATTAATGAAACAGAGATTAGTTTGACAACTACTGTCATGCGTTTCCAAAAATTAAATAATTAAATGTGTATTTTTTGTATCTAGTGTTCTGTGACTTTTGTATATTCGGGTGCGTACATTAGGCGCAAGCCTCGTAAAGTCATGTGAAACAC